GTGGCTGGCTGATTCCCAGCCCCAACCACAGCGAGTGCAGCGTTCTTCCAATTCCATCCCCTTAGCTGCCAGCCAGACTGCCGCGGGAGTAACCATCAGCAACTGAAGCCAAGCCAGACTGGCTTGTTTTTGCGACACCATAGCTTTCAAGCCTTGGCAAATCCCAGCCAAGTCTAGGCACCCCAAAGAGAACCCCGGTACCTTACTCAGCCTCTCGGTGGCTGTTATTATCGGATGTTTCTTCACTCTTGCTCTTTGTAGCTGAACCCCAATCCTGGGTTTATATGCAGCCACCGGGGTAAACATGTTCGCTCCAGTGGTCTCCTTCCAGCCATACATCACGGGTTCTATTTGAAGGTTACCCACGTCTTCAACTAGCACCACCGCTGAGGCCTTGCCTTCCTTCATGGAGCACCACACTCTACATTCCAGGAGGCCAACCGTCGAAGGAATCACCTTTTCTCCAGCTAGCTTGAGCTGTCCTAAGCGGGACCCATGACCTTCTCTCCCCCAGACTTCAACTTTTATGCCTTGAGGTAGGGCAGGCCCAATCACTCTCAAAACGGTCTGGGCCTCCCCTGGCCCTAACAGCCAAGCTCCCTGCCCATGCTCTACTTTTGCAGGCAACATCTGTATCCAGTACTGTGGGACTGCTTTACGGAGGGCTTCGTAATTAGCTTCCACATTCCTAAGCCTACCCAGTCTGCTTTTTAATGAGCCAACCGAGACCCAATCCTCTCTCCCCTCATCCCACAGATCCTTTATCTGTACCACTCCCCTCTCAACCCACGCTTTTCCAAACGTGCCTGTGCTACCGTCCGCTTTGAACCAGTCCCCACTTGTTGATATAATAAACTGATTCTCAAACAAGATTTGGTTTAAAACTTCCCTTCTAGTCTCCGGGCCTCGGAGAGCCTTTGGGGCAAGTTTTTGTCAAGCCTGCAGAATGTTTTTCCAGAACCTTGACTTGACTCTCCTTGCACAAAAGGACGGGATGAAAAAACATGCCCAGGTATCCGTGCTTCTGACCAAGACCCACTCTTTAGATAGACAATATTCGGCCAACCTCACCCACCATTTCCCTCTCGAACCAAAAACAGCTGCTATAACCCATTTACTAGAAGCGCTAAGTTCTGCTGGGCTGGGTCGAGTATCCCGAGCCCCCCTTGACTCCGGGCAACTGTTACTGATTCCCAGGCCACTTTGGGAATAAAGCCCTGCTGTGATTCTGCTGTAGGTTTCCATAAATATCGGGCAGCATCCCTCTTAATACGAGCATATGCCTTGCTACCCAAAAGATGAATAGAGAGTGGGAACCAAAGTAGAGAAAAGGCCGCCGATGAAATAACTAAAGCCCTCCCAAAAAGCAAAAGCTTGAAATTCCGCTTCCAGCCTGCTATTCTTGCCGCCACTTTATCGGCCAGCAACGAGTCCTGCGTCTCTGCACAATCTGTCAATGAGACTTGCACGCCCCAAAATCTGTCAGAGGCGTTAGCGGGTATCTGTTTCAGCACCCAATCCACAGTCAACACCCGGGAGGAAGGGAGGAAGTAGCTGGATTTATCCCAATTTATGGAAGCTTCAGATAGATTACAGTAAATATCGATAGTCCTACAGAGTTCTTGCAGTGCCCCGGGGTTATTATCCACTGCGACGGTTAGATCGCCCGTGATCGCACCCCCCTTCCACTCAATACCTGGGGCCAGTTTTAAGCCTACAATATTGGGGTTTGATCTAATGTTGGCCAGCAGGACCTCCAATTGGAGGACAAATAGGAGGGGGGCAAGGGGGCAGCCCTGCTGCAGGGACCTTGTCAATTTAAATTCCTGCGACGTACATCCATTTACAATAGCCACTGAAGTTGCATGCTCATAGCTCGCTCTGACCCAGGTACGAAACCCCGGCCCAAAGCCCAGCTTAATTAAGGTCGAGTGGACGAAAGACCACCCAACCTTATCATAGGCTTTCTCCATATCAAGGAGCAGAACCGCAACGTCTCTTTTTTCCCTGGAAATAACCTCTAGAGCTTGGATAGTCGCAGAGATATTCTCAAAAATAGATATGCCCTTCACGAAGGCACCCTGCTCCCACCCTATCAAAGCGGGCAGCAGCTTGGCCAGGCGAAGAGCCAACGTTTTAGCAAAAAGTTTATACGTTACATTTAAAATAGAAATCGGGCGCCAGTTCTTGACTTCCCTTTTGTACCCTTTCTTATACATGAGGTAAATCATTCCCTTTGTAAAGCCCTCCGGCAGCTGGCCTTATACCAGGGCCTCATTATACATTTCGCATAAAAAGGGGCCAAAAGTAGTCCATGTGGCCAAGAAAAATTCAATCGGTAAGCCATCTAGGCCCGGACATTTCGCTTTCGCCATGGCTTTGGCTGCCAGCAGTAATTCCCCTTCCTCAATTGGTCTGTCCAACTCTCTGGCCTCTGGCCCTGAGATTATAGACTGTACTGGGTCCCAAAAAGAAGCGACTTCGGTCATATCAAAATGAGGAGGGTCCCCTGGTCTGCGAGTAGTAACAATATCTCTATAGTATTCCAATGCATATTTGCATAGATCTACAGTAGCAATCGCATTAGGAGCCGAAGCATCAAACGGGTGAGCTAGTTCTCTAATAAGTGATCTAGATTGAGTCTGCAGCAGAGATCGAAATGAAGGTTTTGTCATTCTATCGTACCCCACGATCCCTCTGAGATTTAGAAATTCCAGCCATTCGGCTTGCCTCTTAATTTCTAATACTTCTAACTGCAATAGTGCTGTCGTCCTGATACCTGCCCAATACCCATCAGAGAATGGCTCCTTGCCCATCTGGGATTCTGCATAAGTGATTTCCTTAGTTAGGGAGGTCTCGTTTCATTTCCTGTTCGCTGCCTTCATACGAGAAAAGGTAACAAGGGCCTGTCGCACTATCTCTATCCCGGTGTCGGCCCACCACAGGGAATCAGCAAAGAGGTGTTTAGCTAGGATCCATTTGGTCATTTGGGTGTTTACCCATTCTATAATTGCCGGGTCCTTGAGCAGGTTAATATTTAATTTGAAAGGGGGCCGGTGCCGCTCCACTGTATCCTTTGGCAGAGCATCCAGAAGAACTGGGTAATGATCTGACAGGGAACCTGGCATCACATCACACCAAATTGCACGATCCCACGGCGAGCCTCTAATCAGGAAAAAATCCAGCCTCTTTCGAGGGGCCCAAGTGGTTGGTGACGGAGGGGGGCCGAACCAAGTAAATCCACTATTTTCCAGGTTAAAAATTCTGAAAACATCGACCAAGCCTTGGGTTTCGCAAAAAATGGTCAATCTTTGTGAATCGGTCCGTAAGGGTTTTACGGTTAATGTATCTAGGCCTGGATTAAAAACTGTGTTCCAATCGCCACAGATAATCAGTTTTTCAGTATCTGGCAAGTAGGCCGGCAGGTACTGGAAAAAGTCCAGTCTAGCAGGATAGTCTACAGGCACATATACAGACATTATGGACCATTCTTCTGAGTCCATCAGGATCTTGACCCAAGCCCACCGGCCCTCGGAGTTTTTTTTTTTTTTTTTTTCCCTTAAAACAAGCCGAGAGAGTGCTAGGGGTGCTGGTAAGAGCAGACACCGCTAGCACTCTCGGGGAGGCTCCATCTATTGGTGGGGAGCATCACCTGCTGGAAACCGGGTCCAGCGTCCCTTCTTTTACATCTCGTCGGAAATGCCTTATGTTTGAGTAAGACAGAAAAGAGTAAGAAGACACGGTTAGAAAAAATGAGAAAAGATGAGAGAAAATGAGAGAAATTGAGAAAAAAATTAGGAAGAGAATTTAGGCAGAAAGAGCAAGATGTCTGAGGTAACCATCTGCTCTAAGGGGATCTGGGGACGGGAACCAGGCAGGACCACTGGTGGGCACCAGCGAGTCCGTTCTTTTTCTGTCCCTTTGATTCCCACCTTCTACAGTTTCCTGTGACGGACCTCTAGAGCCTGACTTCCATTGCCAAGGGATGGGGGGGAAAGGGATCCGGGAAGAACTCTGGGCCCCGCATGGGGATGCTGGGGTCCATTGATGTCCAGTCTTTGAAGGTGAGACAGACATCTCCGCCGAATTGCTGGACACGAAGTGGTGGCCAAAACTGCTTCAAAATGTATCCTATTTAGAATCTCAAAAGAATCTAGTCTTATTATACGGTCAATATCAGTATACTTTGGTTAATCACATGGATATAAAAAAAAGTACTACTTTAGAAAAAGTCTCTATATCTCAGCAACGCTGGTCCCCTTCTTCTGCCTGCCCATCACAGTCGTTGTCGCCCGACCAATGCACGCTAGCCACCCATCCTTCTCTTGGACCGCCCAGCCATTCATTGGCAAATTTGGAGATTTTCTCTGATATGTCTTTGGGCCTCTGGTATGTGTCCAAGACTTGTTTCGTTTCCCGCCATCTCTGCATAATCTCAAGTTGAAAACAGTTTTTAAACTGTTCCTTCCTTTCCTCCCCTTCGACTCTGACACCCTCCATTGTCATCGCGCAACGCTGCCACCATAGAACCCAGAGTACCGACCTTCTTGCCAGAGCAAACATGTTCCTTGCATAGGTTGAGTCCTGCAGGCCTGGGTAGTGGCCCAGAAGAATCACTCTCCAGTCCCATGGCCATGGTTGGTCTGGAATCATCTGTCTCGACACCCTCTCCCACCACCTTCATGTTAGGACTGCCGACGGACATTGCAGGAAAACATGTTCGATTGTTTCAATTCGTCGTTGGGACGGGAAGCTTTGGAGGCAGCGAGAACACCATGGATGAGCCCGTCCTTGTTGTTCCAACTGAGTATGGTCAATTATCCAGTTATTCGTTGGGAGACAGCGGTGGGCAATCTGCCACTGAAGGGATGTAATTTTGGCCGGTTTGCACTTGCTGTTCTGAAACCATTTTATAGGGGACAGCAACTGCCTGTCCACGTTGAGCTGCCGCTGCCACCTGTCTATTACTACATCCCGCACGTTCCTTTTCACACGTAACATCTTGTATGTGGCTTTTACTGATAGGTTGTTAACAGTTCTGATAATAGTTGTCTGTCTGTTGTTTATTCGATTTGTCTTTTGTGAAGAGTGTCATTGCCATTCCGCGGGGTCCAGGGGGAGTTGTGATATTGGAGTGTCCGGCCTGTATGCTCTACGGTCATCCCCTTCCCCCAGCGTGCGGATCCTGTGCAGAATTGCTTTGTCAATCCGTTCGAAAGACGCTCCACTGCCAACCATTTCTCCCTTCCTCCCCACCCTGTACCATTCCACCCACACTGTGACGTCTGTCGGCTGTTCATGGTGAACAAGCCCCACCTAGTGGGATTCGCCCTCCATTATTACCCAGTCCCCCTCCTGTATTTTTGGACCTCTACGCAGGATAGGTCGCCAGGCCAGAGGGAGTGCCTCTATAATCTCCCCTAGCGATTCCTCAATGTTACGACAGTATCTCAACTTGTCTTTCATTTGGTCCAGTTCTTTCCAGTCTCTGCGTTCCTTGTCCCATAGGTCCCCTACTTTCATTACCCCCCTTTTTACCCATCCTTTCCACGGGGGGTCCGAACTGCAGAAAATCTGACTTTGAGAGTTGGTAATCCAGCAGTTTCCAAAGAGGGGTTGCCTCGTTATTTCCTCCCATCTTTCAGGGGCCGGACGCTGCGGGAAAGGTAGGGCTCTCCATATTTTGATTATTCTGGGCCAAAAGTCATCCTTTATCCCCTCTGTGGCTTCCACCCCCCGTGCTCTTCTTGGTACTTTCTAGTAGCGATCGTCCAACCAGCATAGAGGGTCTATCGTGGGTCAGGCTTCCGGTGCAAGTCGGCCAATTTGTGTCAGGGCCAATGGTCTCCAAAGAAGTGGAAACACCAGGATCAAACGCAGGATCCATTGCAGGCATAGTGCTTGTATTTGGTTCATTGGGTCCTGGATACCCAGGCCCCCTTGGGCTTTAGGTTGTATCACCGAATCCCAGGCCACCCGACTAATAGCCGTTGCGTTCTCGCTATCACCTCTCCATAGGTAGGCCGTCACCTTTCTCTTCAGGGTTTTCTGGGCCGGTTTGCGAAGGGGCCACAAGACCGACTTGTACCATAAGGTGGTCAGTACTACGTTATTAATCACAAGGGCCCTCCCAAAAAGTGATGTGTGTTTGTGGTTCCACTGAAGGAGCTCTTGGAGTGTTGGAGATGCGAGTCACTTATAATTCTCAGTCGGGCAACCTTTTGCAGTCATCTTGACTCCCAGGACCCGAACTAGTTCGTCCAGGTCCAACCATGTGATCGCGAGGAGCTTCGGTGGGCGGCCCCCTTGTTGGTGAAGCCACCAGCCAAGCATTTTTTATCCCCAGTTCACAGTCATATCCCCTCCCTCGATCACAACTCCGCAGCATACTCGACGACGTCATGAAAACGTCCATGAATGGAAACGAAGTATCCCTCAATCAATCAATCAATCAATCAATCAATCAATCAATCAATCAATCGATCAATTGATCAATCAATCAATCGATCTATCGATCAATGGATCGTTCTATCGATCAATCGATCATTCAATCGATTAATCGATCGATCGTTCAATCAATCAATCGATCGATCATTCAATCGATCGATCGTTCAATCGATCAATCGATCGATCGTTCAATCGATCAATCGATCAATCGATCAATCAATCAATCAATCATTCAATCCTTCAATCAATCAATCAATCAATCAATCAATCAATCAATCAATCAATCAATCAATCAATCAATCAATCAGGCAATTGATCAATCGATCAATAAATTAATCAATCAATACATCAATTGAACGATCAATCAATCAATCAATCAATCGATCAATAAGACAATCAATCAATCAATCGATCATTCATTCAATCAATCAATCGGTCAACCGATCAATCAATCAATCAATCAATCAATCAATTAATCAATCAACCAATCATTTGATGAATCAATATGCAAATTGCAGTAATAAATTCGAACGATTAAACTCAGTTGTGTTCGTGCGTAAAAACAAAAACAAAAAAAAGTGTGGCTGAAAGTTACGTCGAATATCACACGAACATATACAATTTGTCCATGACAATATTCAAAACGCATGCTATTACTGGACAACGGACTGCCGAAGATCATACGAAGATCACAAGCACGGACATAAGCGATAAAACACGAAAAAGGCAGCGGACGCGACAAAGATGCAATGGCATACGTGGATGTTGTTTTATTTTGAAAAAAGAAGGTGTCATTCTCATAATGGCTTCCATTTTATACTGCACGTGGCACATAAACAGCTACGTCGACCGACCATACTGACAACCAGCGACACCAGCACAACGCCCGTCCAAAAATAAAGCCCCATCGGGCGGACGTGGTGACGCCTCCACCCCCTCTGCATTTCTTTCCCCCACCCTCACCTTCCGTCCCCCCCCCTCCCTCCCCGCCTTTCGTTCTCCCACCCCCTCTCTCTCAGCGAACGAAGGACGACGGACGTGGCGTCATTAACCGGGGGACCTTCCACTCCGCATTCAGACAAGGCGAGGAGGTGCCACTACGACGACTCCCACGACCCTTCATCGCCATCGTCATCCTTCATTTCGTCGGTGACAGGTCTCGTCCCCATCCAATCAATCCTTGCCGCCACGTCAGGGTCCGCCAAATTGGCATTGTAGTTGAAGCTTACTCCGCATGCCGCCTGCTTCGGAATATAGTTGGGAAACGTATCCAACGTCACGGGCGGCTTCGCAAGGCGAAACAAAACAGCATTCCCCGAGTCGACAATATGCTTGTGTCAGTTGAACGCCTGCGACCCTGTCGCGAACAGCATCAGCTTCGCGACAAGTTATGAGTAGTACGACGTGTCGTAGTGAGAACGGACGTCGTCACCACCCATGCGCATGATCCACATGTTAGTGGCGAGAAGAAGGCGGAAGGCATCCCCGATTCTGTTCAACCTGGACTCGGACATCTTCCCGTTCTCGGACTACTGGCCGCTGCAAAGCGCGTCTTGGAAGCAGGACGCCAAATGCAAGTTCGTGGACTCTTGAAGGGCAGTCATGTCATCGTCCTCGGAGGCTCCTACCTGTTCTCGATGTACGCCCCAACATACCACAACGGTATGTTCATCTTGAGGGCGAACGTGTGATAAACGACGTTGGGGAAAACAACCCTCGACCACTTCAGGGACCGCCACACTGCTATCGCCAGATCCGTCGGGTAGTCAACCGAGACATACGACTCCGCGCAGGCAAAGCCATCAGTTTTGGAAGGAGACTTCAAGATCCACCCGTGGATCACTCACATGGTACGTTCTCCGTGTTCCTCGCCCTGCGAAGAGTTGGCTCCCCTTGCGTTCCGTTTTCGATCCGGAAGCGGGGGACGTAGTTTGTTGGCATGATCGGGCCTGCAGAAGTGCTAGCGCCAGCGTCACCATTGACGATTGCGCAGTAGTAGTCTGCGCAAGAGTGCACAACGTCGGTGATGAGGCGACCAGGTCTGATCCCCCAGAATGTGTTTCCGTCTGTCCACAACTTAGACTTTGTGCCCAAGTCCTCCTCCTGTTGCGATCTTTTCTTCCTCTTCGCGAGGGACCCGTCATCGTTATCGACAGCCAGAGGAGTACGCTCCATCATCTCCTCTTTTCTTCCTGCCTCCTCACACGTCCCATCTTCTCGCCTCTTCCCCCCAGTGCTGGTGGCGCCGTGGACAGCCGCGCTTGCCACGTTTGCCAGTGGAAGTACCCTGCCCACTAACCTAGCTATTGTATTCGACGGATCGACATGACGAGGTACGGGTTGGACAAATGTTTGGAGAGTGTAGTTGTGGCCACCACTGTCGCCGCTGGAGTGATAGGTCTTTGACCTCCCGAATCCTCAACGGCAGTCCCTTGCGAGCACAAGCTTCCACTATCACCGACATGTGTCGTTCCTTGTGTGTCAACCCCAGCCAGTGCGAGGAATTGCTCCCTTGATATGCCGTCTCTGCCAAACCCCTGTGTGAGTGCCTCCAGCGAACGACCTTCCGTGGGCGATCTCTGCTCCCCCCCCTCACCCCCCATCGCACCCTCTATCCCCTCCACACGCAATGTTTTTGACTTTGGGACATGTCCCCTTCCGAGATGGCCCCTTTCGCCTTCGTTGAGGCTGTCTCACTTTTTCTGCTGCGACTGTCCACGTGGCGCCACGAGTTGTCGATAGATGTTGCCTCTCCTAAAACAAACAGCGGACGAGAGTGCTCCTCGACGTCGATGTCATGGCACAGAGACTGTTGAGCGCTCACTTATGAAGACAACGATGGACACACCTGTCGTCATATAGGACCTGCGCTTCGCTGGCGACCACTATGAGATCATCGCGTGACGAAGGACGGGGCTAAGGCAGGACAAGTGTGTGTGCGTTGAGGCGCCCTGCACATGCTGTGAAGCATACCCTCGTCGGTCCTTTATACTGGCTTGCGTGACCGTTCCCTGCCTCGGCGCAGTTCCGACGAGATGGCATTTATTTTATGCGGTTGCGCAGGCGATCGAAGTCCCTCCGCTACCCCTAAAAGACCGAGATCGAAAGGTCGGTATGCCCTAGCGAAGTGACCGCCTGCCCGCTTCGTCGTCGTGGACTCGCAGTAGTTGTGGGTTGATGAAGCGTTTTCCCCGCCTCCACGACGACCCAGCACCCGAAGCCACCCTTCCGCACTTCAAAAAAGTTCCCACCCCTCGCTCTTCCCMCCCCAATTTGCGACCCCCCCCCCCYTCCCCAAAAAAAAACTTTGTGCCTGCTTGGCGATCGGTCCATCCAGCACCCCCGACTTACCGAGTCCTTGCATGCGTGGTTGTTTGTTGATGCAAGCATCTCTCTCTCTCTCTCTCTCTCTCTCTCTCTCTCTCTCTCTCTCTCTCTCTCTCTCTCTCTCTCTCTCTCTCTCTCTCTCTCTCTCTCTCTCTCTTAAAAAAACATATACATCTATGTATGTATATATACATACTAAATTCAATGTATATACATACGTAGACGAATGTGGCACTTGAGCAAAACAAGCAGCAGCCACATCACCTGTGGACGCACGGACAGGACGACCAACGTAGGAGTAAAGGCGGCATTAGGACCTATCCCTGATGGCTTTGGTGATCTCCAGCAATGTAGTACACATCAGCTTGTTCGCCTCATCGGACACCTTGTAGTACCGCTGCTGGGCATCAACCTCACGCTCGAGTATGTCTCACTGCTGCTCCAGAAGGCAGCACTGTCGCTTGCTGGCCCCCTCGATGGTGTCAGGCATCAATGCGCCGTGTTTCTCCTTTACTTCAGCAATGACGTCGAATGTTTGTTGACGCATGTTATTCTTCTTGCACTTCCCTCCCGTGCTGCCTGCACTGAAGCCGGACTCTCGCGCCGACCCTCCATCGTCATCGTTCCCATCACCCCCGGCGGCGGATTCTCCAGCAACGGATGGGGAACGTGGCATCTCCATTCCTCCACGGGCACTTGTGTCGGCGACGTTGTCCGGGTAGATGGTCTTGTTGCCCTTTGACATGGCGTCTATCTCATCGTATACACGCTCCTCCATTATGAAGTTGAAGCCTTCTTCCGTTCTCAATGCAGGTGTGAGGTTGAAGAAGTTCTTCCCCTCAGAGGCATTCTGATACCGTTGCACGTTTTTGTACTGCTGGAAGAGGTTGTCCCACTTCTTACTGATGTCGTCAGTCGTCCTGATCACCCCCACCTCCAGCAACGCTTTTGCAAGTCCTGCATCTTCCATTCCCTGTTGCGAAGTTGTGGGGCATGCCCTCGAAATGAGCTTGCTGATCCCTCTTCGCCCAGGCGAGCTTGAGCATCTCCTCAACACTCCAGGACGGATGTTTCCCACCCTTCTCGCCTGCCGGACCCTTCGACCGGCGACTACCACGGGAAACAACCTTCTCTTGACGCACGCCTCCACCCCTTAGGACGCGGTGTAACGACGCCGATTTTCTAAAAATCGGATTTCCAAGGAGGGTCTAACGAGGCCCATAGTACCCACCTCGTGGGGGTCATTGTGCTTGCCTTTTTTTTTTTTTTTTTTTGGAAAATACACCTTGCGCGGCGGTACTAAGGGAGTTCATAAAGCACCCCCCCATACTACCCCATAGTACCCACCGCGTGGGGTCATTGTGCTTGCCTTTTTTTTTTCCCGGAATATACACCCTGGGCCTGGGTACTAAGGGGGTCGATATAAGCATCCCCCCATAGTACCCCCGCCTAGTCGGTGGTTCCAGTTCATTCGGGGGGAGCAGCTCCTGGTGGAAACCGGCTCCAGCATCCCAGATTTACATCCGATATATGAACGAGTACCGGGGCCATCACCCCACCAATAGATGGAGCGGCTACCAGCCTACTTGGTGGGGGGGGAGCGCGGGTAGCCCTGCTCAGGTCTTTA